AAGCTTGATTGTTTATTGAATTTTCATAAGATTTAGATCCATTGGAAATGTACAAGTGGTCCTCAACCTTTATTTTGAGGTGCACAACTTGTTCATAACTACAAAAGGCTCAAATATTGGTTAATTCACTTAAAAAACAATTTCACATTCAAATTTCAATATAACCTAATTTTGCGAACTTTGACAAGATTTAAAAGAGTTTTGGACGATTAATTGTTCTAGACTTTTTAACTAGTAAGATACGATGAAATAATAAAGACGAATTAATTACTAAAAAAATAATAAATAAATCTTGTTATATTTACTATATAATGCTGTGCAATCAATAAGTTTTAGCCCCTGTTTGGTAAATATTAAAATCAGATTTATGAGATTTGTGGTTGAAAAATTGTGGACCTTATAAAATATTTAGTTGTAATTAATTGTTGACTTTAATTTGAAATTTTAATTGATTTTTAATCCAAACAAAACATGGACTTATTTTATTAGCCAAAAGGCAAAAGGAGAAAAATAAACAACTTTTCCTTTTGTAGTATACCATTTTTTGGTATTGTAAATCATAAGTAAATGATTCCGTTGTTGGGAGCCAAGACCAAAGTCTTTAGGTTCGGTTTTATAATCTAGATTTTTATTAGGTTCGGTTTGATAATCTATATTTTACTAGGTTAGGATTCAAGTAACTTTAAAAATTAAATGGCAAAAACATTGGGTGTTAGGTATAAAGAAATCTAGGTTAAGTAGTAGGTGTGGGTCACCTAACTCAACAAAAATGATAATAAAAACATTATATTTCTTAATGCTTAAAAGTCTGGTTGGTGAGGCTTTTGATATGATTTAAAGGTGATTAGATCAATTAAGAACCCAAAGAAATCAATTAAATAAGGAGATGAAAAGTGACATAAAACTCTTCAAATATAAGAAAGGGATAGAAAAATACAAAGGGGTAGTTGAAGGATGGACGAACAATAGTCTACGTTTTTTAGTAAAAAATTGATGTAAGCAACAATTATACAACGTTTAATTGAATTTCGTTTGAAGGGCAACCTATGATTTTATACAATTTCTATTTTTCACTAAATGCAAAGAGTTGTAATATTTTCAAGCGTAAGTCAACTTCAGTAATTTATATATTTTTTTCGATGCTATTTCAATAGTTTTATTATCTAATTATAATTTCCTCAACACTTTGTCACTAGCTAATTCTTGAAAGAAGTGCTTTCAATAGTCCAAAAATTGGGCACTAGAAAATGATCAGTGAATCGAATTTTCATCTGAAAAGATAAAAGAAAAGTGAAAAGAAATACATCAAAAGTATAATTTCCCCCGTTCCCCTGTAATGGAACTATGACGTAAAAAAAAAAAGAAAGAAAAAGAATAATACAATTTGTAGTGATGAGTACCGATAGTCGTTTTACAGGACACGCACGTGATAGTTTGTTATTTGATGCACGAGGCAATGAAAATTATCACATTAATGCATCAAATCAAATAACAAATTGTCACATATATATCACGTAGGATGATTATCGATTAGTATTCACTACGAATAACATTATTCAAATAATAATAATAATACTATGTAGTCATGGGAACCAAACTGCTTTTAATAGAATGTGCCCCCCAAAGCTTTACTTGATATGGAATTAGAATTTGTTTGGCATGGTCAAAATACAACATGATTTCATAAAGTCAGACTTGTGACGATCACATGACGATTTAACACACATTTAAATATTTTACATTATTGAAAATTGATTTTGCAACTATAACTAGTTTGGGATCAACTCGTTCCTTCGTCACAAGACTGTCATGTTATCAAAGCGGTGATTGAAGTTTGAAGATAAACGACTCAGATTTTTTCTGAAAAAATATAGTATCAGGAAAGCTTGAAAGTCGATGTGGCTTAGCTTTGCTTAATAACGAGATAACATTTCCAAGTCAATTTTCTATTCCCAAAAGTAGAGAAAATGGTTGAATAATATTTGTCCTAACTTGGACACGCGACATTGATAAACGTGGTCTCCTGTGCTATCACACGTGGCCACGTCCATTTTATGTCAGAACAAATTATCTCAAGACATTTTTTCATTTTTCTAAATTGTTTTTTTCATACTTTTTAACTATACATTTTTAAAAAATTATTTTTCAGATCACTTTCATACAAGCACTAAAAGTGAACTCTTTTACGAGAACTTTTAAGTATGCAACAACTACTTAAATACCTATTCTTCAATACTCTTTAAAATTTTCAGATGCTAACTTGAGTGATAGAGATATGGTGTGAGAGTTTTCCACCTCCTATGTTGTAAGCACACTTCAAAGCTCCTAGAGTTATTTCTTCAAGAATATTATGTCGAATTGTCGAGTCCTTGATAGAATTGGATGTGAAACGTTAATTACTTGTAAAATTGGGTTCGATATGTTTTACTTTTTACATACAATAATTTACGTTCGGCGCTTCTTATAGATCTATGTTAGTATTTCAGTTGTGATCATATTAGAATTAGAAAAAGCTCGTGTGAAAGTATCACCTATTAGGACAAATATTGAAAAGACGACTTATGTAGTTATGCATGTCTTGAACAGATTTATAAAGTTTCGCTTTTTTGTAGACCAAAATTAAGCTCCTGTTTGACACCCATTCATGTCTAATTTTCATTTTTCTTTCTTTTTTCATTTCAACCACATATTCTCCTAATAAAATAATATTATATACAAATCTAAAACTTTTCATAACTTTTTCACTACACATTCTCCCATAAATCACTATTTCAAAAATTCTCTTCTCCAAAAAATGGGTGTCAAACACCTTCTAAAATGATATGCTGTATCAGTAATTGAGAAATACACATTTTAAAAGTCAGCCATAATTTTTTTTTTCCTATTTCATACGTCAAAATTCTATTTGATTTTTGACAGTTCCATTTTGTATTTGAGATACATGAATCAGATTTTGTAGTAATCTGTTACTGTTGGCCGCATAAGACTGTCGGCAATAAACGTTGCCGTGTCTCTCTCTGTACATGTATATAATATGTAGAACCTTCCCTGTCATACATAAACGAAAACAACAAGGAAAACACAAATATATGGGGTCCACTTTTCAAAATTATATTTAAATCATGTGAGATCACATTCATGCGACTATTCTGTACAACTTTTGACACAAAGTTTCTGTACATTGTTGTAATATGTTAACTTTCGTCAGCCATTTCGTCACACGTGCGTGTTCGTTCCTAGTCAACTCAATTACGTGAGTGAGATTTTTCTTTGTTGAAATTATCCGCCAAAGCTTTCATTGATTTGTCAGCTTCATTAATTAATCAGTGTTAATCAATTATCTATTTCGATCACTGTTATGACGTTTTTCTTGTCATTTTCTCTTTTCCTTCTTCAACTTATTTCATGCGAGATGATTTAAAAAAGAAATTCTCTAAAACTAAAATAAAATAGTAGTAGCAGACTTCTTTTGGAGTGTTTAATTTATAAATAAAGCAACGAGTCTAACAAAGGTCACGTTCGACCCCATTAAAATTATAATTCATTTTTCTTTCTCTTATTATCAATTATATATTTTTTAATAAAATAATATTATACGCAAATTCAAAATAATTTCTTTTTTTTTAAAATATACATTTAAATATAAATACAATTCTAAAAATTATAATTTCAAATAATGATAAATAACAGCGGCCAAAAAAGAGCAAAATGTGTAGATAAAAAAGGTCATAGAATAGACATAGATGAACTAGTAATTTTTAGCCGCAACGTTGTCTACAGTAAATATAATTCAAATTTTTTTAAAATTTGAAAACAATAAAAATCCAATTTTATTTTTCCTGTCTGCCATGAACATCCCAAAATTTTTACCAAGCACGAGCCGTGGAGGCTCGGAACGAGCCTAGAGGCGGCTCCTTTTTGTCCCCGCCTCATTTTTGTTTGTTTAATTTAACATCAGCATCCCGCTGTCGCGGGCCCCACCATGAGCGGCTGTCGCGTGCCGCATAGGCTACTACTCCACGTGGCAATTAAAAAATACCTTTCCAGCTGTCACTTGACTGGTTAAATTTTTTGAAAATTCCAAAATTAACCAAATCATTGTTTGGTAGAGATTAACTTAAGTATCAATAATTAATTTCAATCGCATGTTTCATAAAATCTATAAATTTTTAACTACACATTTCATCAACTTTTACCAAAATTTATAAAATTATAATTTTAAACTTCACCAAACAAATTGCAAGTATAAATAACAACATAATATTTGATATCTACTACTAAGTATAAAAAATGAGATTTCGAGATAAAAAAAATAAAATATATAAAGGGATAATTGCAGCTGCTTCCCTCGATATTTCAAAATGTTGGAGGTTTTTTTCCTAACATTTCATTCGTTGCACTCTTGATCTCAAACATTTCATGTGCATGCATCTTTGTTTAAGCGGATGCAGGGATGGATCCAAAACCGGATTACAAGCTGGCCTAATATGTAAAAAAAAAAATATTACACAAGAAATTTTTTTCTTACATAAAAAAAAAAAAAATCTACTAAAAAAAATTCAATGGGCTCAGATCTGTCAGTGAGCGGATGGAAATCATTCATATTTTCTACTAGTAAAAAAATATTTGAGTTGGCCACATTTTTAATATTTTTATTAGGGAAAAACAGTAACTTTCTATTTTCACATTATATAATAAAAAACATAAATTTAAAAAGAAAAAATCGAAAACAAAATTGCATCTTCTTCACCCCACCCAAAACTAAAAGTAAAAAAATCGTTCGGTTGCACCGGCTGCCAACCATCATCATCCGCCCGAATCACAGATTCACAATCGTCACCCAACACTAGGCCACCACCTATCCCCATAATCGCCAATGCCAATACACATTTGGGAGATGCAGTGAAGGAGATAGTGAAAACTTGGGACCTAATTTTTGTCAATAAAATCGACTTAAGTGTTACCGGTCGATTAATGTACAACGGGAAGGATGTGGCGTCATGCCTTATGGTGGATGCTGGAGGCAATTGAAGAGTATTTTTGTTCTCCGGCTTCTAAGTAATAAAAAGGTAGTCTTTTCATTCCATCTGGGAAGAAGAAATGACCATTGTGATGAAAAAGGTAATGGAGCCCCCTTTGCATTTTTTTGGAGCCTAATATTTTTTGTTCGAAAAAATAAGCACCTACTCTTCTTTGGTTTCGACTATTGAAGTTTGTAGTTTTGATATTTTGTTACTTTGCTCAATTTTTTTCTTTTTATCTTATTCTCGTAAATAAGCATCATACCTTCCATCTAAAACATCGTCACCAGTGAACATGAGTGAGTTGTTCGTGTGACTTGCAAATGATGTGGTTTGTAGGGGAAAATGGAAAGAAATTCCTATATCCATTAAGGGAAACCACGGAAATGGTGGAGCAAGGTTAGTGTTGGAAAATTGGGGTGGCATTAGGGATGGCGTTGGCGATTGTGATTGGGGTGGATGGTTGTGGTCGATGGCCAGTGGCAGTGAACGATTGCGATTAGGTGGGGGAAGAAGATGCAATTTTATTTTATTTCTTTTTGCTTTATTAATTTAATTAATTTAATTGTTTAATATGATAAATAAAAAGTTAATATTTTACCCATTATAAAATATTAATATTAATATTAAATATATGGTTAAACTTAACTTTTTGGTCAACTAAAAAAATATGGATAATTTTCATTTATTTTTACTCCGGATACATGCCCTTGAATGGTTTAGGACTGGGGGTACGATAAATGGAAGGTTGGGAAAAAATCTACAGCATTTTATAAGGTTTGAAAGCCCATTTGCAATTATCCCATAAATAAATAACATCACAAACTTATTGAACTCAACTTTTTTCATTGTCAAGTTGTCTGTCAAAAACTTGGAAAGATCCCTTAATAATCAAGCATAAACACGACATAATGTTCCACATTATAGATAAAATTATTGCTGAATACCGAAATTGGGAAACCTCCGAAATAACTGAACATAAAGAAAAGGTTAAACAACACAATACCTCATATACATTAGGCAAACTGTCGAAAATCCCCATTACCTTTTGAAAATAGTACAAAATGTCTCTATTTGAAACATTCTATGTGTAATACCCCCTCGTCGTCCATTTTCTCCATAAAAAATCACGTAATGACGAAAAAGAAAAGGAAAAAAAAATTAAAGAAATAATTATAATTATAGTCCCAAAAATTTCAAAAAATTACTAATGAGTCCTGAATAAATAATTAAAATATCAGAAATTAAAAAATTAAAATTCATTCACTCTTCCCCTTTTCTCCAACCACCACCACCAACCCCCATCACCCAACACTAGTCTCTCTCCTAAATACCATATCCAAGATCTATTACCTAAAAGTCAAAAACCCTAATTTCTTCACCTCATATATATATACACCCCTGAATTGATATGATCATGACATGGTCAGGTGATAAGTCCATCATCAAGTGGGCTCTTACCAAAGAGGACTGGACTTACGACATTGCTCGCCGAGGCCCGATCGGCCACTCCCACTTCGTGCAGGATGTAGTTCGTGGGACGGCGAGCTTCGCCTATGGAACTTTTCGACCGGAGCCACCACCCACCAATTTGTCAGCTACTCCAAGGATGTTTCGCTGATTGCTTTCTCGATTTACAACTGATGTGTAGTAATGTCGTAAGCCCGAGCTCGAGCTCATTGCCCGAACTTTGACCACCTCAATTACGCTAGGTCCAAGCTTGGGCTTAGGTTTGAGGTCGGGCTTGTAGCACTTTTGTCTGGTCTCCTGACCTTATCTCATGTTTCCTATGAATACTAATCATATTCTGACCACAACTCCCAACCTGTTACAAATTTGACTCTAATTCAAACTCTGCACTTCTAACATAATACGAGCACCTTATATATCAAGGATAAAAACTACAGGAAGTTGAATCCTTTTAGGACTCCATCTTCAACATCTATGAATACATGACACAACCTCATTATTCAGGTACATTTTATATAATATTCTAGCATACAGCTTTTCTCACAATTTCTCTCTTTGACTTGAGCATTAGAGGGGCGAAGATGACGCACTTCAACGCATTTGTTTCAGGTATTGAAGATCGGATCGTGCGGAGCTCAATCATCCAGTTCAAGTCCATTTAGGTACAAATTTTGGTAGCATCAACAATCGTCAGATCGTATTGGCTTCTTGTGTCAAGTTGATTAAGTTGTGGACCATTACACATTTCCAAGCCCTTTTTTGTTCAATCTTATCTTGAATTATCGGCATTTTTTTGTGTAAATCGTTTTTATAAGTGATGTTTCAGGTTTGATTCATTCATGCTTATCACATTTTTGCAGATAACAATGGCGAAAATGAGCAAATGAAGAAGGTGAATTTTTCGCCATTGGGGAAAGGAAATGAGGTCTTAAATGGCGATGAAATTGGGTTCGACTTGAGTGAACTTCAATCACTTTCCTGTGGCTCTTAGTTTGGTGGCAATTACTTTGCACTTCAATAGTTTGAGTTTTTTTTGTCGGTGTAATGGTTTGTCCATGGAACGAATTTCTAGGCAATTTTTGTTCTTGGCCATGATTGGTAATCCCTTTTTGCATTTTGTATATGTGAGTTGGGAGTGGGAATGGTAGTGGCGGGCGGGGGGTAAATGGTGGATTGGGTGGTTAGGCGATGGCAATGTCGGTGGTGGTAGAGAAAGGGGAAGAGGAATATATAATATTCGGTATGTATAAAGCAATAATGGTTGTTATGATGCATAAGGTGTCAATTTTTGAAAAGTTCATATTTTTATTTTAAGTCATGCAATGAATAAGAATTATTCTAAACTCGATATTTAGCCCTGGTTTGATAATCATTATTTAAAAGCTACTTTTCTATATTTTTTATATACTCACTTTTAACCACACATTCACACGATAAATTTTTTTGCATGTAAACTCAAAAGTTTTCTATATTTTTTAAATATACATTCTCCTAAAAATTATTATTTAAAATACTATTTTTTTCTCAAATAATAACTATCAATCAGGGCTAAAAATGATCATATTTCATTTTCTTAGATGTAACATGACAAGATTGATTAAAATTAATGTGAATTTAAAATAATTGAATTTGTTTGTAGATTTCTTTTTATTTTATCATTTTCTTTTAATGAAATAACATTTTTTTATTATTAAACTCTATTAGAAGCTATTGGTAAAATGAAGGGAAAATTACAGTAGCGGTCCCTAACCTTTCACATTTTTGTAAACTTTATCATAACCTTTATTTTGTGCTACCTACAGTCCTAAATCTTTAAAAAATATGCAACTAGGGTCCAAATTGATGAAAATCGTTAGTTGACCAAAAAAATCAAAATCTAATCAATTTTGACCAAATGAAAAATGGGAAAATGGTATATTTAAAAATTTTCAAATATTAACAATTAGAACAATTAAACTAAAATAAATAAATAAAAGAAATCTACCATTACCAATCCCACCCATCTTCATCATTTTCTTCTTCTCCTTGTCGACAATGACCACCTACAGTTGTCCATCTCATATTTATCTTTTTTCTCCAAACTATTGGACATACTAATAGACCTATGGTAAAAGTTGCTAAATCATAGATATGAAACACGAGTACCATGCAAGTGAAAGACAAAATTAGGCAACTGAAGGATGAAATCAACGATACAGTCAAATATGAGCTCCAACTTAGACAATGGGGGTGTTGACACCCATTTTAGTAGAAAAATTAGTTTTTGAATAGTGATTGATGGAAGAATGTGTGGTTAAAAAGAAATGAGAATTTTTAGGTTTATGTGTAATATTATTTTATTAATAGAATGTATGGTTGAAATGAAGAAAGAGAAAAAGAATGAGAATGAGAATGAGAATTAGAAAAAAATGGGTGTCAAATGGGGTCAATAACCCAAATGTGGCTAGAAGGCTGTGAAATGGTGGTGGATTTAGATATGGATTTGGGCGGGGCTAAAAGGCAGGAAAATGGTAGTGACTTTGGGTAGTATTTTTGGTAGGGGAAAATTGGTGGTTTTGGGTAGTGGTCGAAGGCATGGGAATGGTGGTAGATTTGGGAGGTGGTTTTGGGCAATGGCTAAAAGCTGTGTTCGATGGTTGTTCTGGACAGTTGTTGATTAGTTGTTGGCATGGAGGCAGTGGTGGTGCCGGTTGCTATGCGAAGAAAATGAAGTTTGTGTTGGGCTGGGGTGTGGGGCGGGGCGGTTGGATTTATTTTTATTTTTTAAATTTAATTTGTTAACTTATTTAATGTGAGGAAAGTACAAAGTACAATTTTACCCCTTTTAATTTGATCAAAATTTAAATTGATTAATTTTTGACTTTTTTGGTCAACGAACGGTTAAATCTTTCCATTTGGACCCCAGGTGCATATTTTTAAAATGTTTGGAACTGTGGTTGACACAAAATGAAAGTTAGAGTAAAGTCTGTAAAAAAGTAAAAGGTTAGGGACCGCTACCACAATTTTTCCTAATATAAACTGTGATTCACTTGTATTACTTATACAAGTATGCCGAGGGTTTGTTTGAGCCCCATTTTTATAAAATAACAAAAAATGTATTTTTGAATTGTACATTGATGAAAAATGTGTGATAAAAAAAAAAATTTAAATTTACGTGTAATGTTATTTTATTTAAAAATGTGGTAAAAATGGAGTCAAAATACCGTACAATAATGCATTTCTTTTTCCAAACAAAGGGCTAAATAGGAAAAACCTCTACCACCTGCGCCAACCACATTTATTGGTTTCTCTATAAATCCAACACAGCCTAAGCTGAAAACCCTGATATAATATAGCAGTCTGCATCACTTTGCGTCGGCCTTTCAGATTTGGATTCCCCCAATTCTTGTTTTATAATTTCGGTTTCTTTTTTATTTATTCTGATTTTTTCATTTTTAACCCAAATCTTGAGCCGTGCATAGTATGAGATTGATACATAAATCTTCATTTTGTGTTGGGTTTTGATAAATTAAAACAATCGGTTCTTGTTTGGCTTGATTTCTGGAGAATCGGTTGTTATATAAAGTTGAACGGTGTGAAATTTGACAGATCTAGTGAAAGATATCTGGGTCGTTCTTAATTGATTATATCCAACATAAATCGGTGAATAATAACTGAAAATCAAGTGAAAAAACTGTGACTGTAAAGAATGTCGCTGGCGTCAGGATCTGGGATTCAAGTGAGGAGCAACGCCGGAAGTGGGTTGGTGGTGAAGCAATGCGGGAGTCACCAGCTGAATGCGGTGGCGGTGTTGAGCAGGGTAGTGAACAGAAGAGCTAAGGCTTCGACGGGGTTGGTGAAGAGAAACGTCGGTGGTTTAGAGAACAGGTTCATATCCGGAACGGTGGTTCGGCGAGGCGCTTCGGGTTTGGGCTTGGAAAGGTTGCATATTTGGCGCAAGGAAGGGCCTGGCCGGGCGCCGAAGCTGGTGCTGAAGAATGCTTTGTCTCAGGTGCCGGAGAAGCCGCTCGGGCTGTATGATCCTTCGTTTGATAAGGACTCGTGTGGGGTTGGGTTCGTGGCTGAACTCTCCGGTGAAAGCAGCCGTAAAACGGTACTCATTATTATTATTATTATTATTTGTCTATATCCATATTCACACGCAGATATCAGTCTGTTCAATGTGGAATTCATTATCAACATTTATTTTGTAAATGATATATAGGTTACTGATGCAATAGAGATGTTGGTACGAATGTCACATAGAGGTGCATGTGGTTGTGAGACAAATACTGGGGATGGAGCTGGAATTCTTGTGGCTCTTCCTCACGATTTCTACAAGGAGGTTTGATTCGATCAATATTGTGTTTTTTTGGCTTAATTTTCTATTCAATCGTATAATTTTTCATTTATATTACTGGTTGATTCTTCTTTTTCCTTGTCACTTTTGTTGCGGGAATTGGAATTTTATGAGATAATTTTTTCTCCCATTTTCTTAATGTTGTTTGGAATTTACAGTAGATTTTGCTTGGTTTTTGAACGGGTTAATGTAATATCGAAGGAAATGTTGACTTCTATACCTTTAGTCATAAACTAGAAAAAGGTTTTAGAAAAAAAAGTAAAAGTTGAAGACTTTCGGTGGGCTTGTATTGGTCGGAGTTGATTGTTAAAATTTTAATCACAATTGTTTCTTGTTCATGCTGTATCAGGCTGCTGAGGAAGCAGGATTTGAGCTTCCCCCACCCGGTGAATATGCAGTGGGCATGTTTTTCTTGCCCACTTCCGATAGTCGGAGGGAACAGAGCAAAATTGTATTCACAAAGGTAGTACCAAGATCAAAACTTGTTATGGTTGAATAGGATTTTGTTTTATAAATTATGATTGCTGACATTTTTTGGTGTAAAATACTTTGCAGGTCGCAGAATCCCTCGGGCATACTGTCCTTGGCTGGCGGCCTGTCCCCACAGATAACACAGGGTTGGGCAAGTCTGCTTTGCAGACAGAGCCAATAATTGAGCAAGTGTTTCTTACTCGTACTCCCAGGTCAAAGGCTGATTTCGAGCAACAGGTGGATGCCAAGAGCTGATAACATTTGCTAATTAATCTCAGTTAAAATAGTCAAAACTGTTAGATCTTACACATTCAAAGTTTGTAATTTGCATTTTTTCCTTT